TATCGCCTGGAGAACAAAGTCCGGTACTTGAAGGGACAAATAAAGTCACATACATGTATATAGTCACATGTGGTCATATACAGTAGTCATATATAGTCATGTGTAGTAACATACAGTAATATATGGTGTAGTCACATATAGTAATATATAGTCATGTGTAGTAACATACAGTAATATATGGTGTAGTCACATATAGTAATATATAGTCACGTGTAGTAACGTACAGTAATATACGGTGTAGTAACATGTAGTAATATATAGTTATATATAAACTATGTAGTCATGTAGTCATATGTAGTCATGTATGAGTTATGTGAGGAGTATCTATGTATACCAGTAGGTGATAGTGCGTGTGTGCACATTTAAATTTGAAGCAAAATTCGTTGTTTGTTTAACTCTTTTTCCTTTTCACAGGTTTTGGTGTTTGAACTACTATGTAGTAAGTTTTTGCGGAGTGGATTGTGTTCGTTGTTCAAAACAAGCGGTTCCCGTGTTGACAAGTGCGATTTGAGTCAAATTTAGTCGTATAGATAACTGTAGTTATGTATAGTTCCATGTAGTTAGATATATTTATATAAAAGCTATGTGGTTTTCCTGATGAATAGTGATCTTGATGATTGTGTTTTTTTTTTTTGACTTTTTTGTTAGGCATTAAATTATTTATAATATCAAGAATCAAATTTTGAATTTTTTTATTGTTATAGATGAATTTTTATATATATAATCAACGGTTTTTATAATCGATCGACCATAACTTTGGGGTAAAAAAACAGTAAATTGGTACATATAACTATACATGACTGTGGTATACTATAGTCATGTGTAGTCAATTTCAACACAGTAAATTAAAAATTAAAAAAAAAAATTTAAATAATTAAAAATTAAAAAAAAATTAAAAAAAAATTAAAAAATTAAAAAAATTAGAAAATTAAAAAATTAAAAAATTAAAAAAAAGTTAAAAAACAAAATTAAAAAAATTAAAAATTAAAAATTAAAAATAATTAAAAAATAAAAAAATTACAAAAAAAGGTACGTATAAAAAAATAATAATAAAATAAAAATTTATAATTTTTTATTAAAAAATCTGAAAAAATGATAAATGCAGGTCTAAAAGTGTGGAGTGCAGTTAGCTATAATGCTGAATGCATGGGTGAAATACTGAATATGCAGTTTGCTGAAAATTGCAATTAAGGGCACAATAGTACTTTTGCCTCTCCAGGGTGTATCTCAAAGAAAGAATTTTAGGGGTGGACTTATCCCTATATATTTTCCATTCTAGGGGTGTATATCAAATGACCCCTAGAATTAATGCAATCCATGTGATACTCAGATTATAATTTTTGGAATTTTGAGTTTGAGAGGTTGGGCAATTCCAGTTATGAGACTTTGCATTTTTTATTTTTTTTAATATTTTTTGTTTTTTTATTTTTGGTTTTTTTTGGTTTCTTTGTATTTTGATTGTTATGAAACGAAAATGGAAATAATCATAACATAAAAGAATTAGTATTGGAGTTTAAGATTATATTGCATTTTGGATTGTTTTATTTTTAAATTTATTTATAAGTTCCTAAAAATCCATTAAACAAAAAATTAGAACGTATTCAAAAATATAAGTAAATATAAATATTTACAAATTTAAAATTTATATACAAATTGGAATAATTTAAGTAGAGTTATTTTTAAAATACAAAATTAGGAAATATATAATTTTGTAAATTTTATTTTTCTTTTTTACATAATACAAATTGGCTTTTGTTTACGTATTTTTACTTTGTTTTTTTAGGGGTAGTTTGGTCCATTCACACCAGTCAATGAGCTCTTTTTGAATAGGGGCCAGTGGGCTAAATAAAGCCCATCATAGGGGGGTATATGCTAATTTTTTTAACACAGGGACTTTTCTAGCAATTAGACATTTCATAGGGGGTTGTATGCAATTAACTCTCATCAATATATTAATTAAATAATAAATTTTAATTGAAGAATATAAAACATTTTTACATCTGCGGATCGGAATGAGGGTGTTTGGCTAAGCTTATAAGATGTTAAAATGAGCTTATAAGATGTTTTAGAGCTTATAAGCTCTTCCAATGTGTTTGGTAATTTTTTTAAAAAAAGGGCAAATGGCAAAAAGGCCCATCACATGAGACTTAAATGCATTTTGGTCCACAAAAAAAACAGTCTCTCAATTAAACTCATCCCCATGTCTTTAGTCTAAAATACCCTCAATAATATAATTCTTATCAATTCCACCCATTATACTCTAACTTCCTTAATATTACACATTGACCCCGAATTTAAACAAGTATATCACATTAACCCCCAAAACTTTTTTTTTCAGAAAATAATTTTTTTTCTGAAATATATTTTTCCGGCCAGATTCCGGCGTTGACTTTTTTTTTTTTTTTTAACTTTTTTTTTTCCTGAATTATGGTTAATCTGACTTCTTATGGTTAATCTGACTTCTTAATTATTAAGATTTTGCTTAGCTTGAACCTTAACTCTTAGTCTAAAATTAGGGTTTGGTTAAAGGGCGAATGGCAAAAAGGCCCATCACATGGGACTTAAATGCATATTGGTCCACAAAAAAAACAGTCTCTCAATTAAACCCATTTCCATGTCTTTAGTCTAAAATACCCTCCATATATAATTCTTATCAATTTCACCCATTATGCTCTAACGTCCTTAATATTACACATTGACCCCGAATTTAAACAAATATATCACTTTAACCCTCAAAATATTTTTTTTTTCAGAAAATAATTGTTTTTCTCAAAAAACAATTTCCGGCCAGATTCCGGCGTTGACTTTTTTTTTTTCATGAAATTTTTTTCCGGTCGGTCAACCACCGTTGACCGCCGCTTTCCGACGTTGACTTTTTTTTTTCTTAGAAAAAAATATTTTAATTAATATTACTGTCTCATACAGTAATATTACTGTCTGGGACAGTAATATTATGAATATTATTTTCCCGAACAGTAATATTATTATTATTATTGTCCAAGACAGTTAAATTACGGTTGGAGATAGTAATTTAGCAGCCAATGCAGTAATATTAATTAAAACAATTTTTTTAAGAAAAAAACTTAAAAAAAAAAGTCAATTAACAGTTAAATTACTGTCTCCGACAGTTAAATAACTGCCGGAGACAGTAATTTAGCAACGAATAAAGTAATATTAATGAAAAATATTTTTTTTAAGAATAAAAAAGTCAATTAACAGTTAAATTATTATCTCCGACAGTTAAACAACTGCTGGAGACAGTAATTTAGCAATAAATACAGTAATATTAATTAAAATATTTTAAAAGAAAAGTCAATTAACAATTAAATTATTGTCTTCGACAATTAAATAACTGCTGGAGACGGTAACTTAGCAGCAAAGACAGTAATATTAATTAAAATATTTTTTTTAATAAAAAACAAAATAAAAAAAAAACTCCGGAGACCCGGCGGTCAACGGCAGTTGACCGGCCGGAAAAAAATTACAGGAAACAAAAAGGTTTTCCAAAAAAAAAAATGTCAACGCCGGAGACCGGCGGTCAACGGCGGCGACCGGCGGTCTCCGTTGGTGGCGGTTCAAAATAGGGGTGTAGAGTTGAATTGGGTTTCAATGAATTGGGGGTAATTTTGGTATATATAAAAGGATTTTTCTTATTTAAAAATAAGTTTGAATGAGCTGCATTTATTTCAAAGACAAAAAAGTTTTATGTCTCTCTTTTAATTAAGTGCTCTTGTCATGGACTTTTTGTGATTAACCCATAGTTAAAATGAGTTGAAGTAATGTATCATGAGCATGCTTGTTAAATCGTGAATCCAATTGCAAATCGATTACATAAAAAAATAAATTGTAAATTGTAGTGAATCATAAATCGCAAGATTAACAATTCTTTCAAAAATAATATAAATAATAAATATAAATATTATAAAGAAATTATATAGCGTTAAAGAAAATTATATCTTTGAGAACAGATAAAGTCAAACAATAAAGTTGTATATTGCAAAGTTCAAATCAAAATTCAATTGGCGTTGTAACAAAAGTTTCACAAAATTCAATAAAAGATAATATATATACTTTTCTTTCTCGTAAGTGTATCCCCCATTCAACATTTATTTCCAATTAAGGAAAACTCTCTTATATATACCAAATTTACCTATAACTCCTTGAAACCCTAATTTACACCCAATTTTGATTTAAATTAATTTAGTCCGAGTTTCACCAATTAATTAATTTTGGTCTCTAACCTAATTTTGACCCCAATTTGACTCATCGCTGAAAAAAAAAAATGTCAAGTAATGTTGATGTTAACTAATGCTTAGTCAGTTAACTGGAGTTCCGACGACCGAGGCCACCGCTGGAAAAAAAATTGAAAAAAATAGAAGACCGGGTCCGACCAGACTTGGTGGGCGGAGTGGGTTGGGCTTATCTCAAATATAAATTTTGAGAATTCATGTTTTTATAGATTTATTTGCAATGAATGTTAAAGGATGAGTTGATTTATAGTAAACCTTCATTTCATGGGCCTAGCTCAAACTCACCCTAATATTAATTAACCACGATTTCTTTCTCGTACCAGTTTTGTCTTAGATTTGGAAGCTCTCATCTCATTTTGTGCTTGCTGATCGCATTGCATGGTCCATGCATATAAATTCCTTGTATAAAAAGTTAATCGAGAAAAGTGAAACCGAGATCACTTCACATATATCAGAAACAAAACCACTATTGTTATTTTTAATACACAACAAACAGTGAAAATTCACTAGTAGAAAAATGGCTTTTTAGTGCGACCATTAACCATTTAACCGTAGTAAAAAGACTTTTGCTACTATTTTTTCATGTAGCATATTCGGGCGTGACAAAAACTTTGCTACGGTAAATGGCCGTTGCAAATACTTTTTTGCTACGGTACCTAGCATTTACTATGATTCGAAGATTGTCCCGTAGTAAAAAAATCGTAGTAAAAGTCATTTTTCTAATAGTGATTCTAGCCAATATCTATATAAGCACAGCAACACGTTCATAATATATTAAAAGTTTTCAAAACTACAATTCATTAACTACATATATATAAAACCACAGTAGTGCAACCAAGAAGCCAATTACATTAAACATTAACTGCACTTTACAAAAGAAAATGATCTGATCGATCGATTTATATTACGATATGAAAGCGAAACGGAAATGAAACAAAAACTTGAGACGACAACTGATATTTCATATGCTGCGGACATGGAACACGTTTGGGTTCTTGATAACGATGTCGTACATGTAAACAGAGTTGAATTTGGCGAAGTCTTTGGGCAGAGAAATTAGGTCAATTGAAGAGTGTTTATGGAATTGGAAGAGATCATTGTCACCGCCATAATACCTCTCCCAACCCAATCCTCTCAGTATTTGCTCGAGGCAAGTGTACGAAGACACCACCTGCCCGGTTGGCAAGTACACCAACGACTTCTTTTTACAGCTGGCGGAGCGTCTCCCGTTATCGCAGTGTCCATCGGACGGGTTCTCGACCAATTGCATCACTCCGCTGTTCTTGAATACCCAAACTCCAGACATGTTTGCTTAATATATTTGTGGTTTTAGGTAGCCTAGGATGTAAGAAAAAGTAGGGTTTTTATTTTTATTTTTTTGAAACAAAGAGCAAATGAGAGATGGTGATGAATGGAATTGAGAGTGGGAGGGGGTTATTTATATGTGTAAATTAAAGGGGATCGATATTGTCGGGTCCATTGTATTGTAAAATAGATGTTTCTCATCAATATTCCTTGTTCCTTACGGTTATAGGGTTTAACAAGAATCTTGTAATTGGATCAATTGAGCCATGTATATATTGATGCGTTGTGCCCACTTTATCACATGAACTACACGTGAACAATGTAATATACACTTATATTAGGCATTTCAGTTTCTTTAGGGGTAAATAGCATTTGACCCCCTTGTTTAAAAGCTTTTGCAGATGACTCGCTTTAATTTGCTCGTAATATTCAGCACTTAACCCTTTGTGGTTGATAGGGCCCGGGTTGTATTCCGTTAAAATTAATTACGCGTGTCAAACGTCAAAATAATATATTATATATTTTGTAAATGACCCCCTTGTGCTTACATTTTTCCTTTAATTTTTGCAGATGATACCTTGAAGTTTGACAGCGCAGTTAACCTTTGGCGAAAAAAGTAAAGGATTCTACCTCTATAGACCACAAGGGGCCGTTATGTGCTGATATTACGAGCACAAGGGGGTCATCTGCAAAAGCTTATAATCATGGGGGATTAACTGCTATGCTAGTTATCCTTTTTTTTTTTTTTTTTTTATTGTAATTTGTATATATATCAAGAATTCTTGAACTTTTTGCTATCAACTTGTAGTTCTTTTATTTACCTGTTTTTTTTTCACTTCAACTAACCCTTGATGAATAATTGAGTGTCATGACTGTAAATATATACATGATTCCAATGTTGTTAGAGGACCACAACCAACTTTGGTTTCAGTTGCGTATAAATAGGCTGTAAGTATATATGTATATATATATATATTGGTGTGGAAAACAATTCACATGTCATCACATGGAGAATTTGTGGTATAATGGTCCTTACTCAACCATTCACATATGGTTTCCCTCAATTCATCAGCTGCATGCCACCTTTTGGTACCTTTCTTATTTTCTAATCACAAGTTATTGCATTTTTTTGAGAATCTTTCAGAATTAGAGAATTATATAGTTAGAGAAGTACATATATGTGAATATCATACTTTAGACAATAGTATCTTTAAACAAGACAGCTGGTTACTAAGCAGATTAATTTTCTAGCCTACCTATGAATTTTCTAAACATTAGAAATTAATGATAATTTAAATATGTGGAGAACATATAATTAGGAACCACATAAGTTTCATATCGTAAATTAATAAATCCATTCGGCTTAATATTAAAAAAATAATTTCAACTTTAAATGGAAAAATAATTAATTTTGCATAAACCTCCCTTATATGTTGCAAAAAAAAATTCACCAAGTCCCACTATGTTACAAAAATCTTGCATAAAATCTCATCAATAGTTCACGGTGTTAACTTTTAATGAAAATGGGGATTACATGCAAGGTAAAATGAATTGCGACGTCAATGGTGAATCTTTCACTTGGGTATACACCCTAGTATCTGTGTATGATATTGTTGGGTTATTTAATAAAAATACTATATTTTATAATATTGGTTTGACCCCTTTCATAGATCACGTAGACCACTATTTTGAAACCTCGAAAACCATTATTTTCTTATATAAAACACCATAAATTTCCTTAATTCTACATTAAATAGAAGTGTTATGGTGGTCATATTATATACTATGCAAAGGGGTATTATGGCCTTGCAACAGTGTGAGAGTAGAGAAAGAAAATTATATTTCTAAAGATTATATCTCCTCTATATTATACACACCTATGTTGAGCTCTTGTTGTGTGTCGGGTATAGGTTTCTACTTCACTTTTACGTGCAATTTTGGTGAAGTTACATCGAGAGATGAGTTGGGTTGATTTATCCCATAAGCGATACGATCGAAACCTTTCTGCACCTCATTAGGGAAGGGATAATGAAATTCGTCTTAAGAAAGCGAACTAGTCCGAGCCTCACCTTGCCTATCTTCATATTATTGTGAATCATATTGCAGCTATTTGTCAACTATGAAAGGAGAGAGCAAATGGAGTCCGAGCCTAGCTCAATCCGTTATTTCGTAATCGATCGTCAAAGTGCAACCGAAGTTCCAATAATTTATGATGAGTTTTAGATCTCGTGGAAATGAGGTTTGACGATGATCCAAATGTGGCGGATATTTCAACCCGTGGTGATGAAAGGGAGATAATATATTTTTCCATCGTTGTTTTCAGTTGACAAAAAAATTAATGATCTTACTTTGTTGTAGGTGAATTTTCATGCAATTCACGAGTCCATACTTTGAGACCTGTTTCGGTTCTTATGATATCAGAATTTAAGAAAGTGTAAAACATGAAAGTTGGAGGACTTTTTGTTCGCTGTCCGAAACACCTTGAATCGCCAAATTCGAATCTCGAACGTGAGAGATAACCTTAAAATACCGAGCACTTCCAGAACTGCCAGCTGTACGTATTTTTTTTACCGATCCACGCAATATTAAGGTACTGAAAAATTGATAATCCAAAATTATCAAAGTTTTGGTATGTTCTTCTTTTATGTATGTTAATCATAATATCTTACTGTATGATAATTGTGTGGAGAACATAATAAAATTCTTGTGGTATATGCTACTGTATCTTTAAAGGGTAAACGACAAATAGGCCCATGACAAGAGTACTTAATTAAAAAAAACAAACATCCAACATTTTTGTCTTGGACTAGACAACCTCATTCAAAGTTATTTGCAAATAAGGAAAACTTTTTTATATATACAAAAATTACCATCAACTCTTAAAACCATAATTCAACTTCAATTTCATAATTTTACACACCAATTTAGCTCAATTTCACAAATTAACCAATTTTGACCCTCATTCCAATTTTGACCGCCACCGCCGGAGACCCCTGTTCAGCCGCTGTTAACCGCCGGTCTCCGGCGTTGACTTTTCTTTTTTGAAAACTATTTTTGCCCGGCAAGTCAACCACCATTGACTTTTTTTCTTTTTGAAAACTTGTTTGTTCTTAAAAAAATATTTTAATTAATATTACTGTCTTGGCCTGCAATATTACTGTTGGAGACAGTAATTTAACTGTCTGAGACGATAAAATTATTGTTTACTGTATTAATTACTTTTATCGTCTTGGTCGGCAATTTTGATGTCTTCGACCGTAATATTAATGTATGAGCGTAATATTACTGTCTCATGCAATAATATTACTGTTTGGAACAGTAATATTATTAAGGGGCCTTAGGATATAGGTCCCTAGTGACAAAACTTATTAGAACTAAAAATGACAAGCTCAACTAAATATTTGCTTCACATCCTTTATAAAATTCATTCCAAAAAGGCCTCTCCATTCACAAATTCATTTTATTTATTATGCATCTAATATTTCATATCTTCATTTAACATTTTTTAATTTTTTTTACAGTATATCTGTTTATCTTTTTTTTTTTTTCATTATTCATTTTAGCATTTTATACGCTACTATAATTTTTTTATTCTACATAATATTGAAAATTACAAAAAAAAATTATTATTTTTTTAATTTTTTTTCAATTTACATATTTTCGATTTGTCAGTAGTAGACTATGGTGTACTATAGCATACTACGGGGGAATTATACTACGGTGTACTATGTTTTACTACTAAATCCTAGCCGCCATCAACTTCCAGCCGTCGCCAACCCTAGTAGCCAACGCTCACAGCCGCCGCGATTGCTGTCACCTACCAATATCTGAGAAAATCTAGATCTGCCATTTGAACCAAAACTAAGCAAAATCTCTTACAAGATAAGAAAATCATATGCAATGAATTATTCAAAATATGCTTTCAATAACATCTCAACCATAACCACAACCCCCGCCGCACAGCCCCATGTGGTCGCCACTATAGCCGTCGCTATCTAACATAACCACCGCCACCATAGCCGTCGACACCTACCATAACCACCGTCATAGCCTCCATAACTATTCACTAGAATTAAATTTAATCCTTTATAAAATACAAAATCTGTTAAAAGAGAAAGAAAAGAAAAAAAAAATGAGGAGGGGGGTTGGGGACGACATGAGAGAGAAAGAGATAGAGAGAGAGGGAAGGGGGAGGAAAAAACGAAAAAGTTAGAAGTGGGTGCTGAGCAGCGTGAGATATATAGAGGGGAAGAGAGAGAGAGAGAAAAAGAGTGATTTTTATTAGGTATTGTATGGGTATTTTTGGGTTAAATAAAAAACAAAGGATGTGTATCAATTTTTATTTTGAAATAGGGATGTAGTTAAAATATTCTATTTTTGAGGTTGTCATTCATATCTAATTATGTTTGGTTTGAGGGGTGTGATACATATTACCCCTATTATTAATATTGCTTTTCGGGAAAGTCGTATTCGTAATATTATTGTTCGGGACAGTAATATTAATGTTCGGGACAATAATATTCCTGTTTGGGACAATAATATTAGTAATATTACTGTTTGGGACAATAATATTATTAATAGTAATATTAATAATATTACTGTTTTGGCATTAAATATTATTGTCTCAATAATTTTGTTGTTAATACATTAATATAGAGAAAAGAATTCAGAAAAAAAATAATTTCTAAAAAAACTAAATTTTTTTCAAAAATTGTGAAAATGGGGTTAATGTGATATATTTGTTCAAATTCGGGGTCAATGTGAAATTTTGATGAAGTAAGAGTATAATGGATGGAATTGATGAAAATTATATTATGAGGGCTATTTTAGACAAAAGACATGAGGATGTGTTTATTTGCGAGACTGTTTTTTGTCTGGACCTTTGTACATTTAAGTCCCTTGTCCTGAGCCTATTTGACATTTGCCCTTTTAGATGGGGATTGTATGCATACGTCTCTAACCAACCATCTTTATTATTATAGGTTTAGGGGCATACATCTTTCGCCAATAAGTCCATCTCTTGAATATGCAATATAAATATAGGGAAAATTAATGTATATGATAAAATTACCCCCAACCCTTTAAACTCAATTCCTAATTGTAACCCCAATTTTACTTCAATTTTCTCAATTTTGACCACAAAAATTCAATTATAACTTTTTCTCTATTTTAAATATTTTTTTGACCTTTTCTTTTGTCGGCTTTTTCCGCCGCCGGTTTCCGCGCGTTGACTTCTTTTGAATTATTTTTTTTTCCCAAATTTTTTTATCAGTTTTTTTACACCCACCGATGAACGTTGACCGTGATTGCACCGTCATTAACAATAATTATACTGACAGTACATTTACGTAAATGTATTGTAGTTGACAGTACATTTACGTAATTGTTCTGTCGTTGACAATACAATTACTAGCAACCACATCAATTATTTTTTTTTTTTGGATTGATTTGTTGACAAGCTGTCAACGTAATAATATTATTGTCGTTGACGGTAAAATTATTGTAAACACAATAATATTACTGTCAACCACATTAATATTATTTGTTTTGGGCCTTTTTGTTTTGTTTGATTTGTTCACCGATTAATGTAATAATATCAGTGTCTACTATTGTAATATTACTGTAAACACAATAATGTTAGTGTTACTATGGTTGACGGTAATATTACTGTCGTTATAGTAATATTACTATGGTTGACAGTAATTTTACTGTCAATCACATCAATATTAATTCTTGTGGCTTTTTATTAAGTTTGCTTTGTTAAACGGTCAACATATTAATATTACTCTTACACAATACTAGTGATTTTTGTTGTCTTAATATTACTACACTAAAAGTAATAGCAATATTACTGTGTTAACTGTAATATAGTTAATATTATTGTGTTAAACAGTAATATAATTAATATGATTGTCAACCACAACAATATTACTGTTTAAACGGCCAAAATATATTGAAGAAAAATAAGTTTCCAGAAAAGAAAAAAAATGCCAACGCCGCCGGAGACCGGTCATTAACAGTATTATGCAGTCACTGACAATACACTTAAGTAATTGTATTGTTATTGACAGTACATTTATGTAATTGTACTGTCGTTAACAGTACAATTACAGTCAACAACAATATTATTATTTTTTTGGCTTTTCTTTAATTTTGTTTAACTTGTTGAAAACTCTACGTAATTATATTATTGCCATTGACGGTAAAATAACTGTAAACACAATAATATTATTTGTAATGTGCCCATTATTATAAGGAACAAGGAAAACAAAATTATGCAACAGATTCAACAAATAACAAACTTATATAAAATATTTATAGATAAAATTTAGGGAAAATGAGGGATAACCCCCTCATTAGGTAAAATAATGGAGTGTGAGCCCAATTTATCATTGACACTTTATAAACAAATCCATATAATATTTTCTGAATTGTGTGACCCCCCTATTCTTATGTTAATGCCCATTATACCCTTTTTTTCCCATATTTTTATCTTTTCTCTCTCTTCTCCTTATTTCTCTCTTATCCGTAATTTTATATCCTCCATTCATTTCTCTCTCTTCCTTTTTTTTCCTCACTTTGACTTGTTTTTTGTTTTATTTTTCTTCTCCCTATCTCCTCTCTCCTCTCTCATCCCTCTCTTCTGCCATTTTCTCTATTCTCGTCACTTTCTGATTCTTTTTTTTTTCTCTGTATTTTTCTCCATTTCTTCCCACTACTTTGCCTTTTCTTCTACATCTCATTTTTTTGCCGTTGAAATTAATCTATTTTCTACTCTATAAAATGTCGTGTTTTCACCGGAGATGAGATTTATTACCGTCAATATTCCATTTTACAACACCATATCTTCAATCGAATAATAATATAGCGAATTAAAGAAAAAATATAGTTAACTACCAATTTTTTATAGTTAACATCGGAAAAATTATAATTGACTATCTAATTTTATAGTTGACTCTGGCAGCAATATTGTTAACTACCCATTTTTTTATAGTTGACTACAATTTTTTATAGTTGACATAGGAAAAATTATAGTTGACTTCGGAAAAATTATAGTTGACTTCGGAAAAATATAGTGAACTACCCGTAATTTATAGTTGACTCAGGGTGTAGATGACTACAATATTTTATGTTTTTTGCCATATGATCCCTTCTTTGTTTTGAACTCTGATAAAATAAATTTCATGGGAAACAAATTTACGAGTCATCAAATAATGCGACCATGGATTTGTAGATCTGAAAAACAAGATTGTTTAGAAACTCCATTCTTGCGTAATCAACCAGTATTCTGAACCGTCACATATGGTCGCCGCAAACCACCGGTCTTCAACGTCCCTGCACACAACCACCTCACCACCGTGTTCCCTTCCGCCGCAACGCTGTGAACCGCATCCCATCGCCGCTAGTGCACACCGCTGGCCCTTCACCTTTGCTGAACATAGCAAACTGTTTTCGTTGAGAAGATGGAAGAGAAAAGTTGGAGAGAGGGGAGATGGAGAAGAAGAGAAGAAGATGGAGAGAGCGTGTTTTTATGAAGATTTGTTAAGGAGAAATTTTTGGAATATCTTCAGCGTAATTGCAGTGGTTTAGGAAGATAGTTAACTTTAATGAATGTATCTATTTTCTCGTAAGATTGGGGGGGTCTTTTTCTCACACAAAATATGAGGGTACACATGGTAAATCACTAATTGAGGGGGTTTGCCTTATTAAAATTAAATGGGGGTGGTTAGTCCTAATATTTTTCTTACTGAGGGGTTTATATCTCATTAACCCTAAAATTTAATTTAATATTTTAATATATTGTTTTATCGTATTAGCGTTTCAAGTAATTCAAGTCATCAACAGTGAGTGGAACACCTTTTATATGTTGACGTGTAAGGATTAAATGTCAAAAATAAAAAAATTGTTTGATGAAAATTTTAGAGAAATAAGTGTTGTTCGAATTCCCATCAAATAGAACAAGAAAAATCAAATTTCCTATATATAAACAAAATTGCAAAATAATGTTGCAAGTTTTTCATCAGCCGACAAGCTAAAGTGCAAAATTAGCTAAGCAAAATATGCGTTTAGATATCAGCAGCAGGAGCACATTACACTCCGAAGGTGAAGTTTATAATATTATTTTTTATCGTAAAATACACTTTACACCTCTGTACTATGGAAAAAGTTGCATTAACCCCCTATAGTATGAAAACCTACAAAACCCCCCTAACGTTAATTATTCTGTTAGTTAAAGGTGATGTGGAATATTGATTATATATATATATATATATATATATATATATATATATATATATATATATATATATATTTTTTTTTTTTTTTGGCCAAAAAGATTTTATTATTCCATTATGATAAAGCGTTTGGGGGCCTCGTTAAAACCTTGTGGGCCTAACACAAGGAAAAAGAGTACCCCTACAATGGTAATAAAAAATCAGAGATGACCCTATCGAGCCTATTACAGTGCACCCACAAAATGTGGTAAAAAAGAAAATAAACTAAATCTTCTAGAGCTAAGGCAGCAAAAGCTTCGATAATTCCAAAAGGGCCCCTAGGGGTTGAACCACAATTAAGTAAACTCGGCTTGTTTCTCCACCTAACTCCATGCAGCGGGTTCCATAATTGCAAAACAGCCCCCAGGTGGGGGTAATTATGAAATAACCTAAAAAACTTAGCCCACCAGGAAAAATTCAATATTAGCATAGGACCCCAAAAAAGGGCGATGCTGTAATTATCAGAAAACCCAAAGTTTCCTAACCACCAGCTCATTGACAACAAGGGATCCTCGAACCTTTACGAAAGCGAGGCACTCCAGCCCGATCTAAAATTAAGGAGGATCGAATTTGACGAGGAAAATCAGCTACTGAGTATCATCTTCTCTCTTTGTGCTCATATGCCATCTTAGCTAATTCATCAGCAACAGCATTCGCCTCTCTATAAATGTGCCGACCCATCCATGTATCTTTGAGGAGGTGATGAATTCGAGTGATAAGGTATTGAATCTCCCATGCAATCGAGACTTTATTATATATCATATCAACAACGAGCTTGGAATCCGATTCAAGAGTGATTTGCTCGAAACCCATCTCCCAGCAAAGTGTTAGACCATCACTAATAGCTTGAGCTTCTGCAAATATAAGCGACCCTTTTCCATAGAAATTAGAAAAACCTCGTATCGCTTTCCCATTACTGTCGCGAATCAGACCCCCACCTGAGCAATAATCTCCTTTCCTTGAACCATCAACGTTGAGCTTTACTTGAGGCGAAGTTGGAGGCTGCCATTTAATCCATCTGCCTATAATTGTTTCCGTTTCTTTTATTCGAATGTTGAGATTCTGCAAGACAATTCTCCCTTGCATGCCCGTCGAGGCCCTAACCTGCATGGCATCATTTAAGGCTGTAAGATAAGGTGCCATATTCCGAATAATAGTTACGGTGTTCATAGGAGTATCCTCAAATATAGCACAACAACGGCTCTTCCAAATCTCCCAACACCCGAACATTAGAATCCCCAAAGCTATCATTCCATCTTGCCCATCAGTCCAAGTGTGCACAAGTTGTTGCATGGACCCATATGTGTATGGTTTATGCCAAATCATGGCATAGTATTTCCACACACCCTGAGCTACTTCGGATTGCGCAAATAGATGAGTCAGGCCTTCTTGATGCGGAGAAGCACAACACCGACATTTAGAAGGAGAAGTACAACCTCGTTTGCGAAGAGCCAAGTCCACCGGAATTGCCCCATACGATAGTCTCCAGAAAAAGGTATATATATATATATATATATATATATATATATATATATATATATATATATATATATATATATATATATATATATATATATAATAAAATACAATTTGAGTTTCAAATTGCAAAAAGGATAAGTAAAAAAATAAAATAATTTATCATAGAAATTTAGTAAACTATATAATTTATAAATATTATAAAAATATAAAGCTGTAAAATTTTAGATTTCAAATACGACAGAATTTTTTTTCTTTATTATCAAACATTTATTTTAATAACATATTTTTTTCATTTTTTTCCAAAAAATCAAATTTTAACCTCGCTCTAAACTATGCATTAAATCCAGCCCTCAATACACATCTCCTATCATATCTATTCCATTTTTATTTTCCCCTTTTTCTTTTCTTAATTGTTTTTCTCTTTCACCATCTTACTGAGCTATATCGCATCACCACTACAGCAACTGGAGGTCGAAGAATCCCAAAAGCTTCCTCCGCTTCCAAAAATCTACGGCCTAAACTCCTAATTTCATTTCAGAACTTTGTTCTCTTTGCTCTTCAGGGTTTGCTTCTAATTCTCCATGGAAGAACGTAACTCACCCTGGCCTGCAGTAGATGTTGTTGTGACGCGTCTTTATCCACGACAACGGAAGTTAGCGGTGGCGTGATGGTGTATTGTTTCGATATACGTGGTGGGTGGTGAAACCGATCATCTTCTTCTTGGGTTTCAAGATTTTGGTTGTGGGTGGTCGGGTGGTGGCTGTGGTGGGAGAAATAAAAGGGCTGGTATGTAGGCAATATGTTTGGTCTGTCTATACGAAGAGAGGGGAAGATGAATAAAAATTTGGAGGAGACAAAAATGGAATAAATTTTATTAAAATGTGAGGATATAAAAGTAAATTCATTATAATTTTTAACGGTGTCAACTTTTTGAACATGGACTGTTAAATTGGGGGGGGGTTTGTAGTTTTTTATACTATACAGGGTTGAATGCGACATTTTCACAGTACAAAGGTGCAAAATGTATTTTACGCTATTTTGTATACCAATAACACATACAATTAAAGACTTTATTTATAAAATGTTATTATTACTATTGTGATTTTAATTTCTTTTGGCGGAAAAAAACAAACACTGCCTGATACTCTTACAATCCTTAAGCTGGCCCTTATGGGATTTTGGTAAACTCTGCAAATCCATTTTATGAGTCTAGTAAAAGGTGAGTACTTCTTTTTATGCGCGTGTGTAATTATGATAATATTACGAGCATTGTTTTTTTTTTTCGGCAATATTTAACGTAATTACATTATGTAGAGAATATTATATGTTTCCTAAGTATATGTTCTCCATATATATATTAAGTTAGCATTTTGTAATGTTTAGAAAATTAATAGGTAGGCTTCTATATATATATATATATATATATATATATATATATATATATTATATATATTATAATGTTGTGGTCTTTAGCAAATGAGTCTTTAGTCTTTTGATAAGTGTTATGACATGTGTAGCTCCATAATCAAGAGAATTAGTATAGTGTGACATGTGTCCTTATGACAAGGCTATGAAAATGCCTATACATACTTGTATTTTGTATTGAAATGAATAAGAGATGAATACAAAAAAATTGCTAGCATTTCGCTCTCTCTACTCTCTACTCTCTCTTTCCTCACACACTCTCTCTATCTTTCCCACTCACATAGTATATTATACTATATTATTTATAATATTATATGATATTATATAGTGTATATCATATACACATATACCCATCCGAATATATATATATATATATATATATATATATATATATAAATATATATATTAGATCCAATATTAGTAACTTGTTAATACTGTTTAATTAATAATATTCACACCATTAGTGTTTGTAGTAAAATATTTAATACATTAGCTAATGGGAATTATTTCACAACACGTTATCAGCACGAGGTTCTGCTCGGAAAAAAAGGTAGGTTATGTATGTTTGTTTATGTTATTTTATTGAGAAGAAGAGAAGAAGATGGAGAGAGCGTGTTTTTATGAAGATTTGTTAAGGAGAAATTTTTGGAATATCTTCAGAAAATGAAGGATATATATCTATAATTATGTGCATGTTGATTTATGAGAAAAAAAAAGTCATTATCTCTGGCCTCAGCTATGAATTTTCAACTTGCATTACATGATTTTTATTTGCAAATTTAGAAACTTGTAATTGGCATGTGAAAGTTTCGATCTATTTATTTAATAATCTTCTTTAAATTAGCAAAAGGAAATTGACTGATTTAGATAATATAAATGAAAATGACTCTGTCGCATAGGAGTCCAAATTAAGGGTCGATTAAAAGGCTATGATAATTACTCCGAACATAATGTTCGTAGACATGGTGGACGTCGTAGTCCTCAATAATGGCCGATATAGAAGTCGTAAATATAACTCCGGGTGTGATGCCCGTAGAGTCACTAAAGGTTGTGATTCCCCTAAAAGGCCAATGAGGCTATTACGATAAAATTAATTGGGTGATGTACCTATATAAACGAAGGAGATTTTTGTTATGGGTCGATTGAAAGGCCATTATAAAATTAAATATGGGGTTAGGCCTACAACGACGAAGTCAAGATGTTCTTAAATTGTCCAAGGTGGATGTAAATATTTCCGCCCAGATAATCATTTGGTCAAAATTAATTAAATCTCATGAGTTTATTGCCTACAAAATATATTTTGGCCTATGAGTAGAGGTTATATATTTGAGATCATGCATGATAATATTCTTAATGATTACGATATAACTCTCTCGATGTAATAATTTTCGAGATTGAATTTATTTATTTATGAACATACCTCCCTCGGACGATATATATACCCGAGGTTGAGCCTATAATATTTTCTCGAGATAAATATAAACGACGTCAAATTTATATACTTCTCTCGGATGATTTTACTCCCGAGATTGAGCTAATTTCTAAGATAAAATTTAAATCTCTCTCAGACGACATATGCCCGAGATCGAGTTTATAATATCTCCCTCGGACGATACATTCTTGAGGTCGAGCTTAATTATATATTCCCCAAATAAAAATTTACGACTCTCTAGCTCAGACGATTTATTCCCGAGTTTAAGTTAGTAATACTCCCTTGGAAGAAATATTCCCAAGGTCGAGCTCATACACCCCTGATGATATTGGTAATATTTCTAAGTTAATTTGATATGTCTATTAATTGTGTAACATGTACATATCTCTCTCGGATGTTAAATTCCCGGGATCAAGTTTGCAAAACTCCCTCGAACGCGAAATTCTCGAGGTTGAAATTATATATCTCTCTTGGATGTTAAATTCCCAAGATTGAGTTAGTATTTTATGGGCATATTACTTAATATGGATGTACATGTGAAACACAAACATAATAAACTATTGTCTATATATTATATTTTGAACTTCGAAATTGAGCTACGTGCATATCTTTCTCGGACTGATTCCTGAAATTAAGATAATAAGCTACATATCACCCTCGAGTGACATATTCACGAGGTCGAATTTTAGAAGTTCTCCTTCAGATGAAATATTCCTGAAGTAGAGTTTGCACCCCTGAATATATATATTCCGGAGGTTGAGTTCAAATATCTCCCCGGACGATGTATTAGTCTAATTGGCAATTTAATATATTCTAAATTTTATTGAGTGTGATATTGCGCAAAGCACGAAGTAAAACTAAATTACTTTCCGTGGAGATTATGGATCCGGGAATAAACAATTGTTCTGCTTATGATATTAAAAGCATTAGCTTTTGTATTGTATTGTGTCCTAATTCGAATTTTCAATTCATACATCACCATGCCATATAAACTGGTTAATCCTGAAATATTCAGGTTTTGGCATGTTAATATGGGGACGCCTATAAAAATATTATGGTGGCTTGAATTAAAGAATATACTACGGACATTTGTACGATATAAGGATCCTTATGTCCGAAGAGAACTTATGTAATTTATATCAAACAAAGATCTCGTTATATAACATTTAATGCAAAAGGATCGATAATATTTATGGACCAATAAAACCTTTCAAGTGGACCAATATCTTAAATATATATGATTTTGTGAGAAGCATCTTATAGATGGTCTCGCGTGTGTTTATTATGTACGTGCAATACGATTTTGCACGTTTTCTGCACAAGTTAATATACCCCGTGCATATGAGAATGGATAGTGCCGGAGAAACTCGATCAAAATAATTTTGATAAGTTTGTGCAGTACATGGGGACAAATATACTCAGTACCTTGTAGCACACGCTCACACTCATATGGATTAATTGAATCCACTGAATAAATGTGTTACAATGAACATACTCCAGATAATTATATAGAGCTTAATCTCTCAAAAAAGGCAATTATAATTATTCGGGATGATTATGCCAGTGAACCACCTTAAAAAAAATAGAATGTCGGCAGAGCCGAGTTTGGCTTGAAGAAAGCGATTAAATTGGAATTGACTTTCCTTGAGAAACGAAATAAATATGGGTTAGTTGTACAAATTCCGGATTATGTAAAATTTCCTGAATATAAATGGGGTTTTGTTCGTTAGAGGAATAATAACAATAAAATTGTTCGATATAATGTGTGCCTTGTAAAATATTGGTTCTTCCGAGTATATGGGAATGATTATATTTAAATGAATTTACCTGTTCAACATTTTTTCGCTTCCTAGGGTTGTCCATGAGGAAATGAACATACGTCTAACAGACATTCTAATGTTATCTTTATGGTTCACTGAATTTTGTTATACTCCCGTGGATTTAAAATAAAGCAAAG